GGGGAGGAGTATTACCCAGAGGGGGGAGTTTACCCAGGGGGGAGTGTTACCCAGAGGGGGGAGTGTTACCCAGAGGGGGCGGAGTGTTACCCAGAGGGGGAGGAGTATTACCCAGAGGGGGGGAGTGTTACCCAGAGGGGGAGTATTACCCAGAGGGGATGAGTGTTACCCAGAGGGGGGAGTGTTACCAGAGGGGGAGTGTTACCCAGAGGGGGAGGAGTGTTACCCAGAGGGGGGAGTATTACCCAGAGGGGGGAGTATTACCCAGAGGGGGGAGTGTTACCCAGAGGGGGGAGTGTTACCCAGAGGGGTGAGTGTTACCCAGAGGGGGGAGGATAAAGAGAGCATCTCTTTAGAAAGCTAACGCGCTTCAGAATGTGTTGATAATCTTATGCAGGGCTTCTTCACAGAGCGTCGTCTGTTTGCCTCTTCCTGTTTTCAGGATGCCAGCTGTTGATTGGATCAGCAGATTTTCGAGTCTAGAATCTCATTGGCTACAAGAAACGTAAGTCACCACCACAGTCGAGTGATTGGCCTGGAGACGTCACACTATCTCCTTTCAACTCAGCCTCTGATTAGCTGGTAGAGTTGAATGGAAGATTGTAATTGGACCAATGAGGGGCCATTAGAGAGCTCTGAGTGCGGTTGCCATGTTTCATGAAACATTTCAGAAGTACAGAGAAGTATCAGGACAGGACCTGGATGGATCTGATGATCTGGATCAAATCTTTCTCTGGACTCGGATGGCGGCATGCTCGGTGAAGCAGTTGGAGCGTTTGGTACTATGATGCTGATCAAAGTGTTTTTTTAGTTGTGGGTCTGACAGATGTGTAGATTGTGGTTGCTGTGGTGGTCTGACAGATGTGTAGATTGTAGTTGCTGTGGTGGTCTGACAGATGTGTAGATTGTGGTTGCTGTGGTGGTCTGACAGATGTGTAGATTGTGGCTGCTGTGGTGGTCCGACAGATGTGTAGATTGTGGTTGCTGTGGTGGTCTGACAGATGTGTAGATTGTGGTTGCTGTGCTGGTCTGACAGATGTGTAGATTGTGGTTGCTGTGCTGGTCTGACAGATGTGTAGATTGTGGTTGCTGTGGTGGTCTGACAGATGTGTAGATTGTGGTTGCTATGGTGGTCTGACAGATGTGTAGATTGTAGCTGTGGTGGTCTGACAGATGTGAAGATTGTGGTGGTCTGACAGATGTGAAGATTGTGGTGGTCTGACAGATGTGAAGATTGTGGTGGTCTGACAGATGTGTAGATTGTGGTGGTCTGACAGATGTGAAGTTTGTAGCTGCTGTTGGTAGAGGAGGAAGCAGCCACACTGAACACAGCTGAAAGGTCTGCTAGTCATCTTTGATGGATCCATTTATTGCTCAGAAGACTGTTTCCTGAATGTTTTGTTTGAAACTGGACACAGCCCTCACATTCCTCTGAACATCACTTTTAGATGATTAACACCAACACCCTCCCACAGTTTCTACTCAAAGGCTAAGCTAAGCTAAACTAAGCTAAGAGTACCTTCTGACCCTGAGGCGTGCAGTTCAAACATTGTCTGTTTGAGACCTTCCCCTCATCACTAATGTTTTTATTGGACGTCTTCTTGGTGTCTGATGAATTTCTCATTGATGTGATTTCTGCATCTTATTCATGATTGTGTAAAATAATTAATTCTTCTTTGTTTGTACCCCTGATGTAAATCACATCATCTGCTCCTTAAATGAATATAATTCTGATATTTGTTTATATATATATATATATATATAAACAAATATCTATATTTATGTGCAGTTATGTCTTCTTGAATGTGGCCGGAAAGCTCCGTCACCAGGGAGGGTGTGTTCAAGCAATCACTGCCAGGTAGTCTTTCACCTCCTATCTATATATAGATATAGATATAGATAAAGATATAGATATAGATATAGATATAGATATAGATATAAATCATCTTGATCCCAAATGTTTCTTGTTTCTGTTATCACACCATGTGTGTCCTCTCCTTTACATGCCAACATCTCCCTCTAGTGGACAGTTTGTGTATTACAGCCTCACCTGATGAGGATGATGACGGAGGGCGTCTGGGCCATGGCTCCGATCATGCTGCAGACACAGATGACACAGAGGAAGGTGAGGAAGGCCTGCTGACAGCCCGGACTTGGACACTTTCCTGGAAGAGCCACGGCATCCTCACTGGAGCTGGATATACACGTACAGCCGGTCAGGTTCTACACACACACACAGAAACACACACACACACACAGAAACAAGAAGGGTGGATCTTAATGTGGTTTCCCATCATAAACATGTTTAAATATCTCCAGTGTGCAGCTTTTTGTCTCAGTCTGAGCAGTAATACTTGGGCTGTCTGAACTCACTGGTTTGGTGCAGCCAGCGAAGCAGGCTGAGAGGTAGGTGACTCCATTGGACCCGCAGACAGGGCTCACTGACGCTGTGTAGCAGTTACAGTTGTTGATGCACGCCGACTCAGGCCGCTGCCACGACTTCAACGTCCTGCACAGGAGGTCAAAGGTCATGTAAGGGTTAAATATGTTTCATTATGCTCATCTTTTCTTTGTGCATCATCAGCTGATTCATGTTTGTTTATCTTTGTAACAGCTGATGTTGGACAGCTGTCGTCATGGTTACGCTACAGTTACAACGGGCCCGCAGGTTTCAGGCTTCAGAGTAGAATCAACTTTAGACAATGAGAATATATCAAAAAGAAAAGATATTTCTGCAACTGTAAAAGTAGAGTGATGGTGAGGAGTCCCGTCTCTGCCGGAGAGAAAGAGCGCAGAGTTTATCTTCAGAACTATTCTGTGCGGCTGCTCCTAGCGCTTCGAGTTAAAAATCTGTCAACCTTTCAGAAAGGCGTCACCGGTGCTCTTTTCAAAATAAAAGATATTCCCCCTCTGACACGGATCCCCACATCGTCCTCGCTCCCCCTCCAGACAAACATCGTAGGAAAAAAACAATCTTGAATGTAAAACATGAAGTTAAAAGCAACGAGTAAGAGACTGTTGTCATGGAGACCAGACGCGTGTGCTTTTATTCTGAAGTCACGTTTGTTAATTTGTGTGATCCCATGTCTGTGACATCACAAACCGAAGGTGTGATCTGGTGGTCAGGCTGAATCGTTCTGTTCAGTGTGGCTAACGTTAGCAGTGCTAGCACCAGCACGTTTAACCAGCTGATGGGCGAGGGGTCTGTCATCCTCACTTTCCCAAAAAAAATATAAATAAATTAAAAAAGAAAGATATTTATTATCCCGAGAGAATGAATGCTAATCTTTAGCATCATGAAATTAGCATTTTTGGTTTTAAGTTTAAATATCCCAAACCCATTGTATGGTTTACCATGAGATGAGTCCAGTGACATGAGGAGTTACCAACCCAGAAGTAGTATAGTCCAGGAGATCAGAAAACCCTCTGTCTGATCTACATACAAGGTTAGATAATCATCTGTCCTGCTTACTCGTTGCCGTAGGCGACGGTAACCCCGGCAACAGGCCCGGTGTCACAGCCCAGGAAGAGGAAGGAGACGTAGCAGGCGGTGGACACCAGGTTGACCAGCATGGCCATGCGGACTGCTCCCAGAGCCGATAGGTTGAGCTTCTTCACCAGCAGCCCCCCCAGGAAGATCCCCAGACACGCGCAGGGGATGGCGGTCATACCTGAGGAGGACGAGACGACGAGGAGGAGTCAACACCTGTGATCTCCACCACAGGGTTAGACGCCATGAGGACACGCCTACCTAGCAGCTGATTGGCTGAGGAGGTGGTGAGGTTAAACTGCTGCTCCAAGTATTTTCCCAGGAAGGCAGCGAAGCCGGCGACCACGGCGATCTCCATGCACGCCGCCAGCGTGATGCAGCTGAACACGGGGTTGGAGAGGAGGTGCCTGGTCACCCGCGGGATCACTGAAGAAGAAGAAGAAGAAAAAGAAGAAGAACACTCTGAGGATGATTCCTCCTCACCTCTCAGGTGCTCACAGTGTGTGTGTGTGTGTTTGTGAGTGTGTGTCTCTGTGTGTGTGTGTGTGTGTGTGTGTGTGTGTGTGTGTGTACCTCTCAGGTGCTCACACACTGACAGTCCACTGTTGATGTCGAAGCCGTGGATGGCGCCGTTGGGTTTGGCGCCCTGGTATTCCATGGAGAGGGGGGGGGGCAGCATGGCCTGCTCGCTCTCCCCTCCCCCGTCCAGGTCCTGCTCATCGAGCGCCTGAGGGAACCCGAACATGAAGAGGGCCGACAGGAAGAGTAAGGCACCGCATAGGAGGAACCCGCCCCACCACGCCCCGATCCACCGAGGGTCATCGGGGGTGATGTCCAGCTTACCTGGAGAGGACAGGAAGCGCTACTTAAAGAACCAGAGGACATCACAGGAAGTGTTACTTAAAGAACCAGAGGACATCACAGGAAGTGTTACTTAAAGAACCAGAGGACAGGAAGTGCTACTTAAAGAACCAGAGGACATCACAGGAAGTGTTACTTAACTAATGAGAGGACAGGAAGTGCTACTTAAAGAACCAGAGGACAGGAAGTGCTACTTAAAGAACCAGAGGACATCACAGGAAGTGTTACTTAAAGAACCAGAGGACAGGAAGTGCTACTTAAAGAACCAGAGGACATCACAGGAAGTGCTACTTAAAGAACCAGAGGACATCACAGGAAGCGCTACTTAAAGAACCAGAGGACATCACAGGAAGTGTTACTTAAAGAACCAGAGGACAGGAAGTGCTACTTAAAGAACCAGAGGACATCACAGGAAGTGTTACTTAACTAATGAGAGGACAGGAAGTGCTACTTAAAGAACCAGAGGACAGGAAGTGCTACTTAAAGAACCAGAGGACATCACAGGAAGCGCTACTTAAAGAACCAGAGGACATCACAGGAAGTGTTACTTAAAGAACCAGAGGACAGGAAGTGCTACTTAAAGAACCAGAGGACATCACAGGAAGTGTTACTTAAAGAACCAGAGGACAGGAAGTGCTACTTAAAGAACCAGAGGACATCACAGGAAGTGTTACTTAACTAATGAGAGGACAGGAAGTGCTACTTAAAGAACCAGAGGACAGGAAGTGCTACTTAAAAAACCAGAGGACATCACAGGAAGTGCTACTTAAAGAACCAGAGGACAGGAAGTGCTACTTAAAGAACCAGAGGACATCACAGGAAGCGCTACTTAAAGAACCAGAGGACATCACAGGAAGTGTGACTTAAAGAACCAGAGGACAGGAAGTGCTACTTAAAGAACCAGAGGACATCACAGGAAGTGTTACTTAACTAATGAGAGGACATCACAGGAAGTGTTACTTAAAGAACCAGAGGACAGGAAGTGCTACTTAAAGAACCAGAGGACATCACAGGAAGTGCAACTTAAAGAACCAGAGGACATCACAGGAAGTGCTACTTAAAGAACCAGAGGACAGGAAGTGCTACTTAAAGAACCAGAGGACATCACAGGAAGTGTTACTTAAAGAACCAGAGGACATCACAGGAAGTGCTACTTAAAGAACCAGAGGACATCACAGGAAGTGTTACTTAAAGAACCAGAGGACAGGAAGTGTTACTTAAAGAACCAGAGGACATCACAGGAAGTGTTACTTAAAGAACCAGAGGACATCACAGGAAGTGTTACTTAAAGAACCAGAGGACAGGAAGTGCTACTTAAAGAACCAGAGGACATCACAGGAAGTGCTTCTTAAAGAACCAGAGGACATCACAGGAAGCGCTACTTAAAGAACCAGAGGACATCACAGGAAGTGTTACTTAAAGAACCAGAGGACAGGAAGTGCTACTTAAAGAACCAGAGGACATCACAGGAAGTGCAACTTAAAGAACCAGAGGACATCACAGGAAGTGCTACTTAAAGAACCAGAGGACAGGAAGTGCTACTTAAAGAACCAGAGGACATCACAGGAAGTGCTACTTAAAGAACCAGAGGACATCACAGGAAGTGCTACTTAAAGAACCAGAGGACAACACAGGAAGTGTTACTTAAAGAACCAGAGGACAGGAAGTGCTACTTAAAGAACCAGAGGACATCACAGGAAGTGTTACTTAACTAACGAGAGGACAGGAAGTGCTACTTAAAGAACCAGAGGACAGGAAGTGTTACTTAATGAACCAGAGGACAACACAGGAAGTGCTATTTAAAGAACCAGAGGACATCACAGGAAGTGCTACTTAAAGAACCAGAGGACATCACAGGAAGTGCTACTTAAAGAACCAGGGACATCACAGGAAGTGCTACTTAAAGAACCAGAGGACATCACAGGAAGTGCTACTTAAAGAACCAGAGGACATCACAGGAAGTACTACTTAAAGAACCAGAGGACAGGAAGTGCTACTTAAAGAACCAGAGCACATCACAGGAAGTGCTACTTAAAGAAGCAGAGGACAGGAAGTGCTACTTAAAGAACCAGAAGACATTACAGGAAGTGCTACTTAAAGAACCAGGGGACATCACAGGAAGTGCTACTTAAAGAACCAGAGGACAGGAAGTGCTACTTAAAGAACCAGAGGACATCACAGAAGTGCTACTTAAAGAACAGAGGACAGGAAGTGCTACTTAAAGAACCAGAAGACATTACAGGAAGTGCTACTTAAAGAAGCAGAGGACAGGAAGTGCTACTTAAAGAACCAGAGGACAGGAAGTGCTACTCAAAGAACCAGAGGACAGGAAGTGCTACTTAAAGAACCAGAGGACATCACAGGAAGTGCTACTTAAAGAACCAGGGACATCACAGGAAGTGCTACTTAAAGAACCAGAGGACAGGAAGTGCTACTTAAAGAACCAGAGGACATCACAGAAAGTGCTACTTAAAGAAGCAGAGGACAGGAAGTGCTACTTAAAGAACCAGAAGACATTACAGGAAGTGCTACTTAAAGAAGCAGAGGACAGGAAGTGCTACTTAAAGAACCAGAGGACATCACAGGAAGTGTTACTTAAAGAAGCAGGGACAGGAAGTGCTACTTAAAGAACCAGAGGACAGGAAGTGCTACTTAAAGAACCAGAGGACAGGAAGTGTTACTTAATGAACCAGAGGACAGGAAGTGTTACTTAAAGAACCAGAGGACATCACAGGAAGTGTTACTTAATGAACCAGAGGACATCACAGGAAGTGTGCTATTTAAAGAAGCTGAGGACATCACAGGAAGTGTTACTTAAAGAACCAGAGGACATCACAGGAAGTGCTACTTAAAGAACCAGAGGACATCACAGGAAGTGCTACTTAAAGAAGCAGAGGACATCACAGGAAGTGCTACTTAAAGAAGCAGAGGACATCACAGGAAGTGCTACTTAAAGAACCAGAGGACATCACAGGAAGTGCTACTTAAAGAACCAGAGGACATCACAGGAAGTGTTACTTAAAGAACCAGAGGACATCACAGGAAGTGCTACTTAAGGAAGCAGAGGACATCACAGGAAGTGCTACTTATAGAACCAGAGGACAGGAAGTGCTACTTAAAGAACCAGAGGACAGGAAGTGCTACTTAAAGAACCAGAGGACATCACAGTGCTACTTAAAGAACCAGAGGACATCACAGGAAGTGCTACTTAAAGAACCAGAGGACAGGAAGTGCTACTTAAAGAACCAGAGGACATCACAGGAAGTGCTACTTAAAGAACCAGAAGACTTCACAGGAAGTGCTACTTAAAGAACCAGAGGACATCACAGGAAGTGTTACTTAAAGAACCAGAGGACATCACAGGAAGTGCTACTTAAAGAACCAGAGGACATCGCAGGAAGTGTTACTTAAAGAACCAGAGGACAGGAAGTGCTACTTAAAGAACCAGAGGACATCACAGGAAGTGTTACTTAAAGAACCAGAGGACAGGAAGTGCTACTTAAAGAACCAGAGGACATCACAGGAAGTGCTACTTAAAGAACCAGAGGACAGGAAGTGCTACTTAAAGAACCAGAGGACATCACAGGAAGTGCTACTCAAAGAACCAGAGGACTTCACAGGAAGTGCTACTTAAAGAACCAGAGGACATCACAGGAAGTGTTACTTAAAGAACCAGAGGACATCACAGGAAGTGCTACTTAAAGAACCAGAGGACATCGCAGGAAGTGTTACTTAAAGAACCAGAGGACAGGAAGTGCTACTTAAAGAACCAGAGGACATCACAGGAAGTGTTACTTAAAGAACCAGAGGACAGGAAGTGCTACTTAAAGAACCAGAGGACATCACAGGAAGTGTTACTTAACTAACGAGAGGACAGGAAGTGCTACTTAAAGAACCAGAGGACAGGAAGTGTTACTTAATGAACCAGAGGACAACACAGGAAGTGCTATTTAAAGAACCAGAGGACATCACAGGAAGTGCTACTTAAAGAACCAGAGGACATCACAGGAAGTGCTACTTAAAGAACCAGGGACATCACAGGAAGTGCTATTTAAAGAACCAGAGGACATCACAGGAAGTGCTACTTAAAGAACCAGAGGACATCACAGGAAGTGCTACTTAAAGAACCAGAGGACATCACAGGAAGTGCTACTTAAAGAACCAGAGGACAGGAAGTGCTACTTAAAGAACCAGAGCACATCACAGGAAGTGCTACTTAAATAACCAGAGGACAGGAAGTGCTACTTAAAGAACCAGAGGACAGGAAGTGCTACTCAAAGAACCAGAGGACAGGAAGTGCTACTTAAAGAACCAGAGGACATCACAGGAAGTGCTACTTAAAGAACCAGGGGACATCACAGGAAGTGCTACTTAAAGAACCAGAGGACAGGAAGTGCTACTTAAAGAACCAGAGGACATCACAGAAGTGCTACTTAAAGAAGCAGAGGACAGGAAGTGCTACTTAAAGAACCAGAAGACATTACAGGAAGTGCTACTTAAAGAAGCAGAGGACAGGAAGTGCTACTTAAAGAACCAGAGGACATCACAGGAAGTGTTACTTAAAGAAGCAGGGACAGGAAGTGCTACTTAAAGAACCAGAGGACAGGAAGTGCTACTTAAAGAACCAGAGGACAGGAAGTGTTACTTAATGAAACAGAGGACAGGAAGTGTTACTTAAAGAACCAGAGGACATCACAGGAAGTGTTACTTAATGAACCAGAGGACATCACAGGAAGTGTGCTATTTAAAGAAGCTGAGGACATCACAGGAAGTGTTACTTAAAGAACCAGAGGACATCACAGGAAGTGCTACTTAAAGAACCAGAGGACATCACAGGAAGTGCTACTTAAAGAAGCAGAGGACATCACAGGAAGTGCTACTTAAAGAACCAGAGGACAGGAAGTGCTACTTAAGGAAGCAGAGGACATCACAGGAAGTGCTACTTATAGAACCAGAGGACAGGAAGTGCTACTTAAAGAACCAGAGGACAGGAAGTGCTACTTAAAGAACCAGAGGACATCACAGTGCTACTTAAAGAACCAGAGGACATCACAGGAAGTGCTACTTAAAGAACCAGAGGACAGGAAGTGCTACTTAAAGAACCAGAGGACATCACAGGAAGTGCCACTCAAAGAACCAGAAGACTTCACAGGAAGTGCTACTTAAAGAACCAGAGGACATCACAGGAAGTGTTACTTAAAGAACCAGAGGACATCACAGTAAGTGCTACTTAAAGAACCAGAGGACATCGCAGGAAGTGTTACTTAAAGAACCAGAGGACAGGAAGTGCTACTTAAAGAACCAGAGGACATCACAGGAAGTGTTACTTAAAGAACCAGAGGACAGGAAGTGCTACTTAAAGAACCAGAGGACATCACAGGAAGTGCTACTTAAAGAACCAGAGGACAGGAAGTGCTACTTAAAGAACCAGAGGACATCACAGGAAGTGCTACTCAAAGAACCAGAGGACTTCACAGGAAGTGCTACTTAAAGAACCAGAGGACATCACAGGAAGTGTTACTTAAAGAACCAGAGGACATCACAGGAAGTGCTACTTAAAGAACCAGAGGACATCACAGGAAGTGTTACTTAAAGAACCAGAGGACATCACAGGAAGTGTTACTTAAAGAACCAGAGGACAGGAAGTGCTACTTAAAGAACCAGAGGACATCACAGGAAGTGCTACTTAAAGAACCAGAGGACAGGAAGTGCTACTTAAAGAATCAGAGGACATCACAGGAAGTGCTACTTAAAGAACCAGAGGACATCACAGGAAGTGCTACTTAAAGAACCAGAGGACAACACAGGAAGTGTTACTTAAAGAACCAGAGGACATCACAGGAAGTGCTACTTAAAGAACCAGAGGACATCACAGGAAGTGCTACTTAAAGAACCAGAGGACATCACAGGAAGTGCAACTTAAAGAACCAGAGGACATCACAGGAAGTGTTACTTAAAGAACCAGAGGACATCACAGGAAGTGCTACTTAAAGAACCAGAGGACATCACAGGAAGTGTTACTTAAAGAACCAGAGGACATCACAGGAAGTGCTACTTAATGAACCAGAGGACAACACAGGAAGTGCTACTTAAAGAACCAGAGGACATCACAGGAAGTGCTACTTAAAGAACCAGAGGACATCACAGGAAGTGTTACTTAAAGAACCACAGGACATCACAGGAAGTGTGACTTAAAGAACCAGAGCACATCACAGGAAGTGCTACTTAAATAACCAGAGGACAGGAAGTGCTACTTAAAGAACCAGAGGACAGGAAGTGCTACTCAAAGAACCAGAGGACAGGAAGTGCTACTTAAAGAACCAGAGGACATCACAGGAAGTGCTACTTAAAGAACCAGAGGACATCACAGGAAGTGCTACTTAAAGAACCAGAGGACATGCTACTTAAAGAACCAGTGCTACTTAAAGAAGCAGAGGACAGGAAGTGCTACTTAAAGAACCAGAAGACATTACAGGAAGTGCTACTTAAAGAAGCAGAGGACAGGAAGTGCTACTTAAAGAACCAGAGGACATCACAGGAAGTGTACTTAAAGAACAGGGACAGGAAGTGCTACTTAAAGAACCAGAGGACAGGAAGTGCTACTTAAAGAACCAGAGGACAGGAAGTGTTACTTAATGAAACAGAGGACAGGAAGTGTTACTTAAAGAACCAGAGGACATCACAGGAAGTGTTACTTAATGAACCAGAGGACATCACAGGAAGTGTGCTATTTAAAGAAGCTGAGGACATCACAGGAAGTGTTACTTAAAGAACCAGAGGACATCACAGGAAGTGCTACTTAAAGAACCAGAGGACATCACAGGAAGTGCTACTTAAAGAAGCAGAGGACATCACAGGAAGTGCTACTTAAAGAACCAGAGGACAGGAAGTGCTACTTAAAGAACCAGAGGACATCACAGGAAGTGCTACTTAAGAACCAGAGGACAGGAAGTGCTACTTAAAGAACCAGAGGACAGGAAGTGCTACTTAAAGAACCAGAGGACATCACAGTGCTACTTAAAGAACCAGAGGACATCACAGGAAGTGCTACTTAAAGAACCAGAGGACAGGAAGTGCTACTTAAAGAACCAGAGGACATCACAGGAAGTGCACTCAAAGAACCAGAGACTTCACAGGAAGTGCTACTTAAAGAACCAGAGGACATCACAGGAAGTGTTACTTAAAGAACCAGAGGACATCACAGTAAGTGCTACTTAAAGAACCAGAGGACATCGCAGGAAGTGTTACTTAAAGAACCAGAGGACAGGAAGTGCTACTTAAAGAACCAGAGGACATCACAGGAAGTGTTACTTAAAGAACCAGAGGACAGGAAGTGCTACTTAAAGAACCAGAGGACATCACAGGAAGTGCTACTTAAAGAACCAGAGGACAGGAAGTGCTACTTAAAGAACCAGAGGACATCACAGGAAGTGCTACTCAAAGAACCAGAGGACTTCACAGGAAGTGCTACTTAAAGAACCAGAGGACATCACAGGAAGTGTTACTTAAAGAACCAGAGGACATCACAGGAAGTGCTACTTAAAGAACCAGAGGACATCGCAGGAAGTGTTACTTAAAGAACCAGAGGACAGGAAGTGCTACTTAAAGAACCAGAGGACATCACAGGAAGTGTTACTTAAAGAACCAGAGGACAGGAAGTGCTACTTAAAGAACCAGAGGACATCACAGGAAGTGCTACTTAAAGAACCAGAGGACAGGAAGTGCTACTTAAAGAATCAGAGGACATCACAGGAAGTGCTACGTAAAGAACCAGAGGACATCACAGGAAGTGCTACTTAAAGAACCAGAGGACAACACAGGAAGTGTTACTTAAAGAACCAGAGGACATCACAGGAAGTGCTACTTAAAGAACCAGAGGACATCACAGGAAGTGCTACTTAAAGAACCAGAGGACATCACAGGAAGTGCAACTTAAAGAACCAGAGGACATCACAGGAAGTGTTACTTAAAGAACCAGAGGACATCACAGGAAGTGCTACTTAAAGAACCAGAGGACATCACAGGAAGTGTTACTTAAAGAACCAGAGGACATCACAGGAAGTGCTACTTAATGAACCAGAGGACAACACAGGAAGTGCTACTTAAAGAACCAGAGGACATCACAGGAAGTGCTACTTAAAGAACCAGAGGACATCACAGGAAGTGTTACTTAAAGAACCACGGGACATCACAGGAAGTGTGACTTAAAGAACCAGAGGACAGGAAGTGCTACTTAAAGAACCAGAGGACAACACAGGAAGTGCTACTTAAAGAACCAGAGGACATCACAGGAAGTGTTACTTAAAGAACCAGAGGACATCACAGGAAGTGTTACTTAAAGAACCAGAGGACATCACAGGAAGTGCTACTTAAAGAACCAGAGGACATCACAGGAAGTGCTACTTAAAGAACCAGAGGACATCACAGGAAGTGTTACTTAAAGAACCAGAGGACATCACAGGAAGTGCTACTTAATGAACCAGAGGACATCACAGGAAGTGTTACTTAAAGAACCAGAGGACATCACAGGAAGTGTTACTTAAAGAACCAGGAGGTTTTAAAGACAGGCCCACTCACTGGTGTCGATGAAGACTGCGTCCACGTAGACTTTGGTACAGACAGAACCTAAGATGAAGCCACAGGCCGGGCCGAACACCAACGTGGAAAATAAAATACCTGAAAGACAAAGAGAAACAAGTCAGTGCAGGAAACTGAAGAAACAAACACTTTGAAAGGGTTAAATCCAGTTGACTTTGATTTCTTATTCTCTGATTCTCCACATGTATTCATGTTCTGTTGATTAGAAGTCATTTCTTTCTATCAGACTGCAGGTCACCTCATGACTCAGCAGGGGGCAGTGTTGAGTCATTTATTTCTATCAGACTGCAGGTCACCTCATGACTCAGCAGGGGGCAGTGTTGAGTCATTTATTTCTATCAGACTGCAGGTCACCTCATGACTCAGCAGGGAGCAGTGTTGAGTCATTTATTTTTACACAGAGATGGTTTGTGCAGGACTGAGAACAGAAAGGATCTCTTTCAGCTTTAATCATCATATTTATAATATCAGAGCGTTTAAAGAACAGCCAATCAGAAGAGGAGGCTGACAGATTTACTTCGTGTGCAGCTCGCAGGTTGAACAGCGCCATCGATCTGTGACTGAATCGTCCTGCAAGGGTCATAAATAATCAGACAGGAAACGACCTCTCATTGGACCAGCAGCACAGAACCACTGATGCAGCAGCTCAGCGCTGTGTGTGTGTGTGTGTGTGTGTGTGTGTGTGTGTATGGTGTGTGTGTGTATGTGTTGCAGTAAAGCTCCATAAGTAGAACGATGTGACCTCCAGTATCTGGACTGATAATCAGTGTTTCCAGCGAGTGGAGAGAGGCGTCCATGTTTTAAAAACAGAGACAGACTAACAAGTTCTTGTTTTAATAGTCATGGGGTTCAAAGCCCCGTTTTGGGTGGATGAGGTGGGGGGTCCCTGCTTCCACCAAGAGGTTCAGAGCGGTTCTTACTGCCAGACTCCTCTGTAAGGTCCCGATCTCAAACGCTTTGTTAAAAAAGCCTCTCCAGCCTCTCCATTGGTCCTTTCCTCTGCTGCTGCTCATCACATTTACCTTTAGCAACAACCTAACGACAGGCTGAGAGCTGGAGCTGAGGCGGGTTTTAAACCTCCTGACAAACCGTTACACCGCGCCCACCTGTCAATCAGGTCAGCTACACGCCTTATTGTGAATAACTCTTATCCTTCATCAAATCAAAACTGATGAGTCATCAAAACATTCACCCCCCGTACAGTGTGTGTCCATCGAGACATGAGCTAATCACACCTATTTGGTTTTTTGAACCAGGCTGTAAACATGTTCATCTCTGCTGTAAAAACAGGCTTTTTAGAATGGGTGTGTATGTGACTTCCTGTGCTTCTGCAGCCAGCCTCTAGTGGACACTCCAGGAACTGCATGAATTAACAGGTTCAGGTCAGTGATGAAGTCCTGCTGAACAAAGAACCAATGAAAGACACATGTGATACATGTTTTGGTTTTGTGGAAGAGAAATGTAAAGGTCATGTGGAGACTGTTGGAGGAGGCTCAGAGCTGCAGAGTGGGCGGAGCTCTGTGTCTATTCTGCGTATGTTATCTTTTAAGATTGAGCCAAAGGCTTCAAGCGAAATGAGATCCGCCATTTTCAATTCATTTTGGAGAAAGTTCCCTGTGGAGGGAGCAGCAAAACTAAACGCTCTTTTCCCGAGGTCCGTGCGGACACGAGGCACAGGCAGTTTAAAGACATCACAGGAACACAAGGCATAGTGGCTTCTGGTTCTTTGAAGGCATGAACATAAATAAGAAGGCACCAAACCATGAAGAGCTTTATAAATAAGCTTCAGCCAGTGTATATGCCTGCGCACCTTCAAAGATGGCCAATCTGAGTTAGTGTACAGGTCACAGTGATGAGTGAAGCGTCTACAACCAGGAACAAATCTCAACGCACACTGATACACGGTGTAAAATGACTAAACATTTGGCCGAGGCGCACATATACAGTACACCTCCATAATCCAACAAAGGAAGAAAGGTTGATGAAACAAGAAGTTTCCTTGCTCTGAGGGAAAAGCAGGATTTATTTCTGTAATAAAATCCCAACTTTACCTTAAGTTAGAGGCCAAATTGGCAATATGTGATTTAAAAGACAGATCACACTCAAGAATAAATCCCAGGTACTTGTAGCTTTTGACAAGTTCAATTACATTTCCTTGAGAAGTTAAAATCAAAGGGACATTTGTTGTTTCTCCACTTAAATGAGAAAACAACATGAGCTTTGTTTTATCAGTGTTTATGACCAACCTTAGTTCCCTCAAACGAGACTGGACAACATTGAAAGCTGACTGCAAAAACTCAAAAGCTTGAGCAACAGATGCTGAGCAACAATAGATGATAGTGTCATCAGCATAAAAGTGATACATGGCATTTGACAAATTTTCACACATGTTATTGATATAAATGGAAAATAAAATAGGTCCCAGTATCGAACCTTGGGGCACCCCTTTTGAGATTTCTAAAAAGGAAGAGGTGGATCCTGTCATTTTCACACATTGCGTTCTGTTTGACAGATAGTTGCCATACCAGGAGGCTGCTTGCTTTGATCAACCAACTTGATGGAGGATTTTGATCAATAATGCTTACAATCAATTCTTTCAATAATTTCATTTAAAACCTTAAGAGCAGCTGTAACAGTGCTATGTTTTTTTCTAAAACCTGACTGATACTTAGATAATACATTATTGGCATCCAAAAAATCCTTCAGTTGTTCAATACTGATTTTTTCAAATACTTTAGCCAAAATGCAAAGTTTAGAAATTGGTCTGTAATTGTTTACTTGTGAGGGTTCACCCCCTTTTAACAGGGGAAGAAGAAATGCTGATTTACAGACCTTTGGGATTTCATTGCTGATCAGACTCAAGTTAAAAATATATGAAAGAGGCTCAGCAATAAAATCAACAGCCAAAGAACGGCTCAAGTTTATCAGGACCTGCTGATTTCCTGGAGTCCAGTTTCTGTAATACTCTCTGCACCTCAGTGGCAGACACTGGCATAAATTGAAAAGGATGAACAGTAAGTTGACTATCAACCTCAGATGCCAGTGACGCATTATCCTGATTTTTGTCAGGTTTTACCAAGTCAGGGTGCAAGGAGTCAAATAAAAAGCCAGCTGAAATAAAATGTTCATTAAAACAATTTAGCATGGCTGATTTGTCAGTCAGGATGCAAGACTCTTTGACTAAGTGGGGTGGCACATCACTGGCACATGGCCAGAAGAAGATTTTATGACTTTCCAAAATTTCTTTGGGTCATTAAGGTTTTTTGTGGTTTCAGAGATGAAATACTCTGATTTGGCCCTCTTAATTAGGGTTGTACATTTATTACGAAGCTGGCGAAAGAGGAGCCAATCCACAGGGGTTTTGGATTTCCTTGCCCTGGCCCAGGCAACATCCCTATCTTTAAGTAGATTTCCAATCTCTGTTGAAAACCAGGGGTTGATTCGCCCTTTAACCCTGAATTTGCGCAAAGGGGCATGTTTGTCTATTAAAAACAGAAATCCGTCATAAAAATACTTCCAGGCTAGCTCTACATTGTCAAAGAGAGAAACCCTGGTCCAATCAAAACAAACCAGATCATGTATAAAAGCTTGTTCGTAAAAGTGTTTAAAATCTCTTTTAAGAAGAAGCCGAGGCTTGGTTTTGGGAAGTTTGGCATTTCAAACTGTTGCAATGGCACAATGATCACTTAAATCATTTGCAAAAAAACCCTATATCAGTATACTTATGAGGGGCATTTGTCAAAATTAAGTCCAGTAGGGTTGATCTTGTGGGTTGTTTAATATTTGGATGAGTTGGACTATCAATCAGTTGAGACAAGTTTAGAGAGTCATAAACAGGTCCGAGGTGGTCCGAGGCTGTGGACAGCCAATCACAATTTAGATCCCTAACCGAAAGTAGCTCACTGGAATTTAGTCCAGCAACATAGCTAGATAAGGACGACAAGGCTTCCAAACAGGCTGAAGGAGGTCTATAACAACCCAAAACTGAGATAGACTGGCCCTGACAGAATTCAAGTTTCAGGGCAAGAAGTTCAAATTGCTTGCTGATGGTCACAGATGTTAGGATGGTAGCATGGAACTTAATTTTGACATAAATAGCAACTCCACCACCTTTTCTGGGCCGATCACAACGAAAGACATTGTAACCTTTAATAAAAATATCTTTGTCTGAGACTGACTTACGAAGCCAGGTTTCAGACAATACAAGAATATCAGTATCAGTTGACTGTGTCCAAATTTTAATTAGGTCCAATTTTGTAACAAGGCTCAGAACATTAATATGAACGATACCAAGGCAAGTTCTGGCTCTGAATTCATCAGGTGTAGCAATATTATTCAGTGCAGGGCCTGGATTTGGTTTAACATTGCCTGAGAGTAAAAGTAGAAGTAGAATAAAACCTTGTCAAACTGTGACATGTGGAAATGACAGATAGAGACACTCGACTGCAGCCGACAGCCTGTTGAGGGTTTCATGTGTCCAGTCTGAGGGAGCAGCTCACTTCTTCACTTCAGATACTAAAGTTTCACAACTATTATACATACGTGTGCAGAATATAATATATTAAATATATTTATAAGTCTGTCATCATTAGAATTGTCATCAGGAATGACTGACACACAAACAAACATGTCCACTCACAGAGCTGAAGGAATGAGCCTCGTCTCATTTAAATAAAGACAGATTTGATTATTAAAGGAGATCTTTCCTGCTGATATCAGGTTATGATGATGGATCTCTGTAACCTCTGCACAGTGTTTTAAAACACTCAGACGTGGTTTCCTGCTGCTCTGAACAAGACTTTACGAGAACTTGGAGAGACTTGTCCACAACCTGACATCATGTTCTGATGACCAATCAGAGCAAAGAATGGAGCAAAGCTGTAGGACACGCCCATCCCAGCAGCTCTTTCAAGGACTCATTCACCCAGAAGCTGACTCAAATTTCCCTGCGACTGCAAACAGAGCTAACCAATCAGAGAAGAGTGAGCACGTGGGCCTGAAACTAACCGTTCAAGGAGCACCTGAATGCATCATATCTAACTGTCTGAGGAGCACCTGAATGCAGCATATCTAGCTGT